ATTTTATCTTGGAAGAAACATATTACATCTTATTGTTAAACCACAAAAATTAATCTAATTCTTAATAAATTGTAGTCAGATACAATATGGGAAAAATTCTAAACGGTGTAGTAAAAATATGAAATAATTATTTGTTGAGCGGAATATTGACATCAAAGTTTCCGGGCTCAATATTTCATACAATAATACCGAATCAAACCACAAAGTTCCAAGACCCAAACACTCCTACAACCACCATTAACTCCGGTTGCTTGGTTACCTACAAAGGACACGGTATAAACTATTATTGTAGCCACAAAAATAGCTGCAGAGGCTGAAAGAGAGATGGAGAAAGACGCTATAAAGAGGAAGCACAAAGCCCAAGAATGCAGCCGATTTTTCTCTCAAACGGTAGGCTAGCAAATAATGTTTTCACACACTGCCAAGGTCAAAAGGCGGGAGCCAGCATATCTAACAGATAAGTGGGCTTTTAGGTTAAACAGTAATTACACCCAAGAGTTAATAGGTAATGAATAAATGGACTATCAACCAAAAGTCATCCAAGGAGTAATGAGTCGGTCATGAGTAGCTCTAATAAAATTATGTTACTTCAAATGTCCCAAATAAGTTATAGGTTTAGATTGTTACAATTGTGGCGTTGATGTTTCACTTCAATCATTGATCAACTGAATAAATAATGATTAACATTATTGTCAGAGATCGTTTGACAACAATTTGCCTAACATTATTTATGATTATTTAGTCTTATTATAATACTATGATAACTCTTACTTACTATATTCTATTCAAATTGTAACTCTCATTGAAACCCTATAGGAATGAGCTCAATAAAAATAAAATTGAAATTCGTGATCAAATAATTTGGAAATTTGTGTTCGTGTGACCTTCTATGACTAAAAAAATCTGTGACCTTAAAATTCGATAAGTCGTGACTAAAAATATAATTCATGACCAACAATTTTGTTATCTAAGACCTAAAAATTATATAATCAGTGACCAACTAATTTGAAAGTTTGTGACCGTGTGACCTATAAATTTTGATATGTGACCAACTAATTTTGAAATCTGTGACCGACGAATTAATTGTGACATACAAAATTTTTGAACTGTGACCCTAAAATAGTGGCCGGAATCGGTCATCGGAATAATCGTCGGAACGGTTATCGAAATATTCGTAGGAGCAGTCGCCGGAGAAGAGTAGTGATCGGAACAATCGTTGGAATAGTCCCCGAAGCGGTAGGGGTGGTGGAGGTGGGGTGGATTAATTATATTATATTAGAATTAAATATTTAATAAATTTATTTAATAATTTATTAATTCATAAATAAAAATTAAAAAAAAAAATCTAATTTTTGAAATGGCACATACTTAACATCATAGATAA